CACAAATAATCAACCCCAATCCACTGCATGTATTTTGTGTGTCCGTTAAGTCTACCGGCTCCAAAAGTCCTCTGGGAGCCAATGGATTTGCTATTCTTCCCACGTTCTACTGATTCTGCAGAAGGAAGGGGTGGTCTCTGGCCCCAGGAACAGCTGGTCAGAGGGGTAAAGGGCCGCGCTGGTCCCAGAAAGGAGAGGAAAATGGAGACTCACACTATGGCATGCACTTGTTTATATGCACTAAACATCTGTGGTTAAACGCATCTCATCTCTCCCAGCATTTATTTCCTTCCAAAGGCACCTCTCTCTTCTATGTGAAAAACTCACACTTGTCCTATTTATATAACATCGACTCTATTTCTCTGAAACTGACAACTCTAGCCTTAGTATGCTAAAAGCACATGCCCTGGGGGACATGTTTAAACTTTCTTAGATTAACTGACAATAAAATGTGCTGTTTTGAAATTGATTCAAAAATTTCCCCCCATAACTACAAAGGAAAGGGGCTCCATTAACTCTTTCCCATGCAAACATGTAAACTGAAGTCCAGAGAGGTTCGCTGTTTTGTTAAAATGACAAAGCAATGAGCTAGGACTAAAGTTCAGGTCTCCAGATTCCTAAAGCCTCCTTCCAGTTCAGTTCAATCGCTCAGTCATGTCCGACTCTTCGCGACCCCATAGACTGCAGCACGCCAGGCCTCCCTGTCCATCACCATCTCCCAGAGTTAACTCAAACTCATGTCCATTGAGTCGGTGATGCCATCCAACCATCTCATCCTCGGTCGTCCCCTTCTCCTCCCACCTTCAATCTTTCCTAGCATTAGGGTCTTTTCCAATGAGTTAGCTCTTCACCTCAGATGGCCAGAGTGTTGGAGTTTCAGCTTCAGCAGCTCACATCCACCTCCCAGGACCAATTTCTGCACAGGGGAGACACGAATGGCCCTCTAACAGGGCCCACCCCAGAGGCACACGATCTTCAACTTTTCAATTTTTCCAGGATTTTTCTCCCCACTTCCCTTTGCCCTGAAAGGCAAAACTGTCCTAAATGCTTGTCTCCAGGCTCTGAGTTTATATCTGCTCCAGAAATTCTTCACCCTACTGCTAGCCCTAGGAGGCCTATAAGCAGGTATTTTTCATATGTCATCCAGTTTTCCCTCCATAGTCCCAGCAGGAGTCTTGATCCAAATTGCCTAGTCTATTATTCCTCTTATTGAAGTTTCTCGGAGCTGGACCTGTGTTACCTCGTTTAATTGAGTTCAGAGGTCGAACGAATAGAAATAGAAAAAGAATAGAAATAGAGTAGCAAGTATCAGTTATTTAGAATAATGTAAATCTTAAGACTAAACGAATAGATATTATTTATATGTTGGCATAGTGAATGTTTGGTATGATGAACAAATCTTTTGAACTCAGGCATCTTTGGAAAGGCCTTTCTATGTTTATAGACTTTCCCAGATTATCAGTTCTGCCTGCCCATGCAAGAAGTCAGAACTTCATCTCCCAGCCTCCTTTACAGCTAAGCGCAGCCCTGGGCCTTAAACTTTGCGGAACACCTTAGTTCATCCGACTGTGCCCTGGAGATGCTCCAGGCAGTGGGCCTGTACGCTGGGCAAGGACGGCCTTTGCCTCAGGGGGGCGACAGTGCTCAAGTCTGAAACACCTGAATCTCCCTTTCTCTGCTGTGAGCTGTTGTAATCCGCATCTTCCGAAAAGCAGATGCCAAGCCCGGCTTCAAGGAGCAAGGATGCTATGGGGGAAATGCCTGGGAGAGGGAAAACGGTCAAAAGTCCACCAAAGGTTTGGGAGAGCCTTGAGGGCGGGATGCGAGCCCGACACCTGAGTAAAGACGAGAAAAGCCAGCGCTGGGTGCCCCGCAGCCTAGCGGAAGGCTTGGCAAAGCCGCCGCGGGAGTCCTCCAGCCCCAGTCGGCTGTCAGGGAAGTTGCTCATCTCGCAGGACCCGAGTGTCCCTCCCGTCCCTTCTCCCCGGGGTCACCGCCTGGGGGGCCGCCCACGGGAGGAGGGGCCTCCCTGGCAAACGGCGCTGGATTGCCAAGCCAGGCATCTGGACACCTGGGATGCTTTCCCAAACTCGGCGCGGCCTGGGATGCTTGATCAAAGGATTTTCTGTAAATAATACGGTGCCACAATACTTACAAAGCAGGTGAGTCAGGGGAAGAGATTGCTGTTGCCCGCATCTGCCTTGGCACGCTGCCCCTCCGCCCCGCAGGTGTTGCGGAAGGGAGGTGGGCCTGGGGACAGTGCTGCGTGGGAAGGTGTGGGCGTCCTGTCTGGCACTTCACTCCGGATACCAGGCCTTGCCCTCCTGACCCTGCGGTGTCCTGTCCTCCCCTTCCTCCTCCTCCCCATTCCTAAGCCCTGGTTGTGTTTATCTGTATCTTCATTGTTTCCTTCGGAGAGCCAATGATGGATGAACCCTTGAGCTGTTTGTCCGGTTGCGCAAACGGACTGGGCATTGAACGAGTTACCTTAGCTGGGAATGTCATTAAATCCAGAGAGCAGCCAGGGTGAAAACACAGAGTGAAGAATACTGGGGCTCCAAGATAAAGCGTAAATGACTTCGTCCTGAGCTCAAGTGATTACAGAGGTTTTAAAAAGCAGTGGTCTTCAAACTGTGGTACAAAGTCCTGGATAACTTCAGTCCAATCAGTTTCCAGAGGCTTAAATGTCCTATCTCCTCTTTTCCAAATTGACCTGCCTGAAGATGTGCCTGTGATGGAAGGACATACTGCCTTTCCACCTGTTTCACAGCTGGGTCTCCCACCTTAAAGATAAAAAGGTATCTTACTATGGTGCATCTCCTACAGGTGAAACAGTTTCTTGGACATCAAATAAACGGATGATTTGAAAAACTGTCAGCAAAATCACAGCCCCAAAGCATGCATCTCATGCATCTTTTTAAGACCTGCATTTTCAATAAGAATTTTCTTTTTGTTCTGTAATTTTTATCTTAATCAAATAGTAAAGCTTAGGATGTTTGTTGTTTTGATCAACCTGCCAATAAGTGAAAGATAATCCAAAAGAAAAATATTAACACTTTGATCCCAGGAAAAATTTTAAAATATTAACATAATTTTGTTGCAGATAATAAATGATTAGTAGGACTTTCCATTATAAATATAAATTACATTAGGATAAAATTCTGTGTAGAATGATAAAATTTCAAGAAGAAAGAGCAATGTCAAATATCTGAATAGAATTTAAATGGAATATGTTCAGGTATATAAATGTACAATGCTAAGTGTCAAACAACAGAGTATCAAAGAGTAACATTCAACCAGCTACATTTAAATGAATGACATAGAAGCTTAAAGAATATCAATATTAAAAAAAAATAAAAATAAAAGATATCAATATTTATAAAATGTCAGATATTACATCCTTTATTCCTTGAGAGTATGATGACAAATTCTAAGTTATATTAAAACTATATAAGAGGGTACATAATCTTTCTAAAACATTTTTATGGGATACATAAGCAGAAGAAATTTTTTAAACACTGTTACAGGAGTCTAATAAAAAGCCTGCCTCTTTGGTTTCATAGTGAACAGTTCATTCCCCATCCATTCATTGGGTGACATTCCAGCTGAGCTCGACTGGTGTGGTAGAAAACATCAGAGACAGACAGAATAGAGATCCAGCTTTTTCATCAATTCATTTTGTAACCTGTGGCAGTCAGTAAACCTGTCTATCTTTGCTCCTCATCTGTAAAATGAAACGACTGGACAACAGTTGAACGTTGAACCTGGAAGTTATTCCACTCTGTCACTACATGTTTTTCTTGAATGTCTTCTGAGTTTGTCCTTCTCTTTTCTTTCTCAATCACTGTAAGTCCTTTTCGAGGTAACATAAACACAGTTGGGAGTAGGAAGGAAAACTTTAACTATCCTGTTTCCTCTTCACTAAAGAGAATGTGCTTCTCTAAGACTTAGAGAGTAGAATGAATGGACAAGTAATCAATTAAAAAACCTGCACAGCCTTTACAGTAATTTTTGAGACTTCATGAAGAATCCCCCAATCCCATGAAGTGGAAACTGGTGTACATAGGATTTCCCTTGACACCATGCATTCATAACCTGGAGTCCATGATAGAATCTGAGGTGTTCAAAAACTTGAGTAGAAAAAGAGAAATACAGCTTAACTTCCACTAACCTTTTAGTTAAGTATTTCCTTCAATTATAGATGCAGGTAATAACCAGAGTGGTGTTAGCATTACTGTTTGTTCCTATGTCACCCATAAAAATTAGTTTCTTGTCATAGTACAGGTCTCAAAATATCATTTATGCTCTTTACTATTGTGCAATTATGGGTGCTTATTAGATTTGGCACTAGCTCCTGTTTACTTTATGCAAAGAGGCATATGTATAACTACATACACACATATATAAAACTATTTCTGTATAACAAAGTTGGTTTTCATATTTTGATAACTATTTCAACATAATTTCTTTTGTAATTCTCTGTATTATATTTTATGAGTTTAAAATTGTTCTGAGAAGCTGATCTTAAGGCTGACCAGATTGCCAAAGGCACCCATCCTTGGCACATCCTCACAAAGACTGAGATTACCCTGGCATGAATACAGACAGAAAAATCATTAAAGTGCCACTGGGGCAGCATGGAGCAATTGACAGCAGCCACTCTTAATCTGGAAAACTGCCAATTATGGCTCTATCAGGGTTTCCCTGGTGGCTCAGGTGGTAAAGAAATTGCCTTCAATGCAGGAGACCTAGATTCAATGCCTGGGTCAAGGAAGATCCCCCCAGAGAAGGGAATGGCAACCCACTCCAGTATTCTTGCCTGGAGAATTCCATGCACAGAGGAGCCTGGCAGGCTACATCCAGTCCATAGTTCGAAAAGAGTGGACAAGACTGAGTGACTTTCACTTTCAGTTGAGTGAAGAACCCTGAGGACCAACCAGGAACACCAACTTAAAGACAGAGTCGGGGTGGGGGCGGGAAGAAAAAATAAAAATTGTTTTTTAGAAATCCCGGAAGCCCAGGGTAAAACAGGAGGATAGGAGGGGCCCAGTTCGGGATGCTACTTCGTTACTGGCGACAGAGGCCGATGGAATGGCCAGCAGCCCGTTTCCTGTTGACCGCAGACTGCAGCCCTGGCCCGTCCCCACCACCACCACCATTCTTCAAAGGGACACACCTTCGAGAGAGCGGAACACCAGCCCGACACCACTGAATCAAAGAACTCCCAATCAGAAAAATCACTCCCACGCTCCCAAATCAAAAAATTGATCTCCCGGCTTTTCGCCAATATCCGACACGCCTAAGGGGTTTAAGCGAGCTCGCGTGGGCTCCCCTTGCTCCAGGTCCACCCGGGGGGTTCCGCCGCAGCTGAGCGCAAAGTTTCATTCAATTACACCTGCACTTTCAGAAACCATCGACTGTCAGAGAGGGTCTTCCCTCTTCTCCAGACGCCAAGCCCCGACTTCCTTCTCTGTCCCCCCGGTGGGGCGGGGATAAGCGGACCCTCCGCTTAGAAGCCGGCCCGCCCCCTAAAAAAAAAAAAATCCCCGCCCCGCTCGTTCCTCTAGTTTAAGACCCCCCGGGGGACTCCAGCCCCCGAACCCCTCCGCCACGCCTCAGGCTCCGCCCCCTTCTCTGCGGCCCCGGGTACCTCTCGGGCTCGGCTTCCGGAGAGCGGCGCCGTCGGCTGTGACGTAGAGGCGCGGGACTGGCCGGCCCTCCCTGGCGGCCCGAGGATTGGCCGGCGGCCGGCCCCGCCCACCCCATCCGCGCCTCCTCTCCCAGCCCAGACCCGCGGCCGCCCGGGTTGTCCTCGCGCCGCCGCTCGTCCGCGCGCAGCCCGGCCGTTTGCCGCCCCGCCGCCTTGCAGCCTGCGTCCATGGCCACCGCCGCAACCGAGGAGCCCTTCCCCTTCCACGGCCTCCTCCCGAAGAAGGAGACCGGGGCCGCGGCCTTCCTGTGCCGCTACCCGGAGTATGACGGGCGAGGGGTGCTTATCGCCGTCCTGGACACGGGGGTCGACCCCGGGGCCCCGGGCATGCAGGTGCAGCGGCCGCCGAGGGCCCCAGCGCGGGTTCGGGGGCGGCGGGGGGACGCGGGCCTCGGAGTCCCACTGTGCGGCCGAGGGCGAGCCGGGCGCCGGGAGGAAGCCTCGGGCTGGGAGGCGCGGGGCCCGGGGCGCCCGGGCTGGGCCCCGATCCCGGCCCAGACAAAGCGGCGGGGCCCGGCGTGGCCGGTCGGGGCGCTAATCGCCGCCCCCCCCCCCCCGCCCCCGGGAAGCCCCTTCCAGCCTGGGCGCCGCCAGGCCCCGGGGCCCGCGGGCTTCCTCCTGCCCAGCCCAGCGCCCTCCTCCGCCGCCGCGGCTGCCTCGTGGACCCGAGCGGCCAGTGCCCGTTATTTACCATTTTATTATTCTGGGGAGGGTGGTGTGGTGGTGGTGGGGAGGCTTCAGAGAAGAGGCAAGTCAGAACTTTTCGTGTTTTGTGTGTGTGTGTTTTCTCACTGCCGTTCGGGTAATTTGATTTGGGGTGGAATGATTTTTTTTTAAATCTCGAAACAACGAAAGCCGCCGGTTTCAAGAAGATAAGTCAACTTCCGGAATTGTTTGCTCCGGTAGTTTTCTGTGTGCTATTTTTAAACCGTCTTCTGCAGTGTACTTGTTTAGGGTCAACTGAAACGCAGGGCTTTTTAGGCTTTTACGTTAAGAAGAACCCGATTGAGTTTGTTGTTGGTTTTGGGGTTTTGGGTTTTTTTTAACGACCTCTTCCAGGGTGCATTCAATTATGATTTCTTTATTTCCTTTTTTTTTTTTTTAATTTTTCAACCTCAAAATGTAAGACCACGTACTTTATCATTTTTTAAAAGATGATTTTGTTTGGCCTTCGGCACCTTTGGAATCGCTGAATCAAGGTACCCTTGTGAAAAAGCTGATTTTTTTAAAAGGTTGATCTCTGTTGAAAGCCTTCTGATTAAAGTTTTCAAAGTTTGGCTTTTGTAAATTTAGCCTTAGACTTGCAGGGAAACCCAGCAGTCAGCAGAACTTCACCATTGCTCAAGATCCCATCTCTCCAACGTCTAACCTGGCTGATTGCTGCTCTCTTCCCCTGTGTCAGCCCTTCACCTGTATGTCTTAAAACCCTGAGGTTGAGGGATTCTCTTCCTCCCGCATGCCTCTGCCCTCTCAAATCCTTGATTGTGCTCTCTTATAAGCGGGATAGCATTTGGGAAGTTAGGATGTAATTCATGGGGAAGAGGAAACTGTCAGGTCTGTAGAGAATCCCTTCTGAGGGGTATCGTGCTTCCTCCCCTTGGTTCTTGAGCAGCGGGGCGGAGTGCCACTCATCTGCCCCTGGCCCTGCGGGGCAGCTCTGGAGCCTCAGCAGAGAAGCAGGTGACGCCTTCCCTCCTGCGCTGAGTGGTCCAGTCAGGATAATAACTCTGGAGACTCAGAGCAGTGACAGCCATCACCTCCTCGGACTTTATTCCTGGGTAGTGATGGTTTCATTCCGGGGTGGTGTGTGTTCCCTTTTATAGGGATAAGTGGGAGGAGAACAGCTGGAGGCCGTGGTTCACTGGCTCCTTTGTCAGGATAATAAGGGGATTGGAAGAGTTTGGAGGAGTACTGTCTGGGGAAAAGAGGCTTTTGTAGAATCTCCCAGACCTGCTCATCCCATCATTCTGTTCCTCTATAAAGTAGCAGTGACTCTCATCCCACCACGCTGCTCTGAAAATTGAGACAGTTAGTTACCTGTGACTGTTTAAAGAGCTCAAGAAAACCGTTCAAGAAACTCATGTTTTAAGCAAGGCTTAAATAACCTTGAGGGAGTTTACACTGGATCTTAAATCGCCAGCTCTCTGAAGGATAAATGTGCGTTAGATGTGTGTGTGTGCTCAGCCCCTTCAGTCGTGTCCAATTCTTTGTGACCCCATGGACTGTAGCCCTCCAGGCTCCTCTCTCCATGGGATTCTCCAGGCAAGAATACTGGAGTGAGTTGCCATGCCCTCCTCCAGGAGATCTTCCCTACCCAGGGATTGACCCCTCATCTCTTACCTCTCCTGTTCTGGCAGGCAGGTTCTTTACCACTAGCACCACCTGGGAAGCCCTTAGATGTGTGCATGTAACAACAAATGTTTGCACAACAGTGTCTTTGAAGGGAAATGAAAATTTAACTCCTATCTTCTAACAACTTGGAGAGATTGACCTAAACATGGCCATCCAAAAAGAATTCAGTAAGGTGACTTGCAAACACGAGTGAATTTTTAAGGTATTTTTCCCCCTCCTTAGCTGTAACAAATGTGTTTTGTAGATCTGTGTATACATCATTAAGGTAAGAAGGTAGATAAAATGGAAGGAGCAAGTGAAATAGGAAGAGGTGGTTGGACTGGACATCTGAAAAGGCAGTGAAGTCTAAGCAGAGGACCAGAGACAGGAGGAGAACTTTGAGGAACACAGTGGAGAGGCCCGTTCTTTGGAGATGGCCTCGGGCTCAGTTCTCTTTTGTGACAGCGTGTAGGCTTGCTAAATGCAGAGGGTGGCAGGATGAGAGGAGTAAAATTAAATAAGTGGTTAAGTATTTTCCGCAGCAGATATTCAGGCATGTAAGGTTTTGCATTAAAAGATTCTGGAGTCGTGCAGACTGTAACTGTTAACACATTGATCAGGGGGCCAGCCAGGCCTCATGGAGGAGAGACAGAGCTTGGACAGGACCTGGAATTCAGGGGCCTCCCGGCCACCACTGGTCATCCTCCGCATTGCCAGAGTACCCTTTCTTAAAAAAAAAAGAAAAATCCCTGCCATCACACCCTTGCTTAATATCAAACCAGCCTATTTGGGCCTTCCATTTGTCTTTGCCTGAAAACCCCCAGTCCTGAACTTTTTTTTATTAGTTGGAGGCTAATTACTTTACATCATTGCAGTGGGTTTTGTCATACATTGACATGAATCAGCCATGGATTGACATGTATTCCCCATCCCGGTCCCCCCTCCCACCTCCCTCTCCACCCGATCCCTCTGGGTCTTCCCAGTGCACCAGGCCCGAGCACTTGTCTCATGCATCCAACCTGGGCTGGTGATCTGTTTCACCCTAGATAATATACATGTTTCGATGCTGTTCTCTTGAAACATCCCACCCTCGCCTTCTCCCACAGAGTCCAAAAGTCTGTTCTATTCACCTGTGTCTCTTTTTCTGTGTCCTGAACTTTGCACAGCCCATTGGCACCTGATTCCAGCTCCTTGCATAACCTTTGTTAGCATCTCAGCACTTCCGTCCCCCGCCCCTGACCCTGGGCTTCCACCAACAACATTCCACCCTTTCCCCAGATCTTCCAGGTCTGTCCCCAGCACATGCCCCTACACGTGAGGTTTAATCTGCCCGCAGACTTTCTACAGGCACCTGTAAAGGCCTATTTAATCCCATAAGAGCTGGCTGGGCCCTTGCCTGTTACCTTTGGGGATATCTGCTGATTTACTTCAGCCATCTCCCAACGCGTATACTGTGTATTTTGTGTATATGCCAACCGCTGTGTCAGGACCTGGGACTTCAAAGAGGGGTAGGGCCCAGTCCCTGCTGACAGTTCCTTTTCCCTCTTTGCTCTCATAGCAGTTTATTCATATCCTCCTATAGCACTTAGCATTTCATTTTGGTCTCTTGCTTTTCATAACCTTGTTCCTGGTTAAGTTAAAATTCCTTGAAAGCACCTATCCAGATTCCTTTTCTGTGAAATGTGCTTGTGTTGAGTGGGAAAATATATATATGTGTGTGATGATATCTGTAATTTCCTCATGGGAAAAAAATACAATTTGGGGACGGAGGTTACAAGCAGTCCTGTTCATATTCACTGAAATATAATAGAGGGGGCTTCCCTGGTGACTCAGCGGGGAAGAATCCACCTGCCAATGCGGGAGACAAGAGTTAGATCCCTGGGTCCTCCCCCGGGGGAGGAAATGGCAGTTTGCTTCAATATTCTTGCCTGGAGAAATCGCATGGGCAGAAGAAGCTGGCGGGCTACTATGGGATCATGGTCAGACACAAGATAAGAGTACAGTGAGGAAATTATCATGGATGTGTACTTAGTTACTAATGGTAGGTGCTGCCAGTTTTAAGTTTGCCTTTCAATTTGCCTTTCCTGATTTCCTGCAAGCTGAGTTGTGTGTTCTTACATGCCTTCCTAGATACTGTCCTTCACGTTTGTTATTCATTGTCCTGTGTCACTGTTCTCTTGTTTCATTTGTCTTTCCAGCTGGATTGTAAGCTTTCTGAAAGCAAAGCCTGTCTTACTCATTTTATCACTATGCTCTTAGAATAAGAGTCATTTCATAGTGTTTGTTTGCAACATACCATGCTTTGCTTAAAGGAGTGTTTTCAGTATCATCCCTGAAATTTCAAGTAAGCGCTTGTTCCTTCACTGCGGTTTGTGCAGAAAAATTGGCGAGCTTCCCACTCTGATTCTGATCTTCTGTAAACCCTGGCCAACTTTGCCACACTAAGTGTTTCTCTGGAGATAAAAAGTAGCTGAGGTTCTTGATGTTGGGGAAGAACCTTTGGGCAATTTTTGTTCCGTTCCACCAGCATCGCCCAGTAAGCACCTCTCAGTCTTCCACTCCATCCCCAGGGCTGATCACCTCTGCTCTTGTCACAGGCTCCTGTGACCGTCCAGCCCCCACGGTGGAGGGACAGCGGGCTCAGGCTAGCAGGGCAGTTGCCTCTCTTCCTCCCAGAGCTCCTTGCAGAATTCTCAGCCGGTTTGCCTTTCTAAAACCTTCCTAC